AACACTGGCAGCACTTATAATTGCTGCCGAAGTCCCTCCAAGGCCTTTTCGGAGGTCATTCCAACGTGCATATGCGGGCTCCAACAAGCCCGCCAGCGCCTTCAAGCTGCGCATCCCAACCGCAGCTACACAACGGTCCCAGATGGCTGGAAGGTTGTCAGAATAGAGGTTTTGGAGGAGGATGAGGATGATGAAAGGGTGGCAGCCCGAGATGGATAAGTGGGTGGATGTTGCTTTTGACGAGAATGCGAAGAGTGATGCATGATTGCGATTGAACACCTTTCCCAGCCAACACCCTCCTGAAAACATGCGAACGCGCAGCGAGGACCACTCGGTGTGCTAGAAACTTCGGTCGGTGGCGGAAAGGATGACATCCGGAACAGCATGAGGAAAGCGAGTATCCAGTTGGACACCACCAGCACCACCTTCTCAGGCCGCACACCACCCAAATGCTCCTCCACTCCCCAGCTCAATCTCCCTAGGTCGATGATCCGCCCGAAGTGCACCATGCGCCCCGTACTATTCGCACACACTCGCGCAACTCGCTGAAGGTACTTTGAGCGCTGGATCTTGAACGTTTTTCTGTACCTCATGGCCCGCTTCAACTTGAGTTTTTGCTGCCTGAGGCGGAGGCGGAGGAGGCAGAGACAGAACGGGCGCGCATGCGCACGAAGACATGTCCTACTTCTGCGCATACTATGATCGAAGCCCCCGCAATCACCGGCTGAGAGGCTGCCTGACGATGGTACATTTTTTGCTGCAGTGTTTGATGACGATGTGGACGCGAGAGAGGGAGAGGAAAATGCTCCTCTGGCCATTTTCGGTAAAACAACGTCAATGGTGATTCCTCTTGAAAAAGGTCTAAATGATGCGCTCCTTTCCATTCATCTCATGCAGCGGCGCTCTTGTCGAGCCTTTGAACAAGCCGGCTGACTCATTTCATCGTGGGTCGTGCACTCCAGCATCAATCGGCCCTTGAGTCCTTGAGTAGAGAATGGGAAGCGTGGAGGAGCGAAAGACCGCCGCTCTTGAGATTGGCAGCGACATCGGCAGCTACAGACTCCAGGAATCTCCAGGCCCATACTCGTAGCCGCTGGGGGGAGGTCAGAGCTGATATGGTTTGAAAAACAGAAGGGCTTACTACCGATGAGAACTCGCTGGATGAGCAGAAGGCCCAAGGTTGCAATTGCAGAAAGTATGGCTATGCCGATCATCAATTGGCGCTAACATCAGCAATAGGAAGAGAAACATACTGGTACTCCCATGCGGCAGCAGCCAGCTCGTTACGCACCGCATTCGCTTCATGATCACCACCACAACGAAGACTAATGCCCGCTCATGCACATAAGTCAGAAATCCGCAGAGTCGCCCTTTAAAGCACGCGCGGAGCGACTCGGCAAGACCAGAGTCCCTACCGCGTGGCGCTTAGTCCTTGGCGACCCACCCGAGGAAAGGGCCCATATCCAAGATCTAGAGTGGAATATCAGTTCATGTTCATGTTGAA